TTCCTGGTGTTCGTGTTTGTTTGTTTTTATAATATGACTATACCCAGGATTCGTGTTTTTAACGAAATTAGTAACACACACACACACACACACACACACCTATAATAAAGGTAAAAAAGGATATATGCAGTGTTATCTTCATTTTAGATATTAAAAGGGTTTTGCAGCTCCCAGTGTTTTGTTTTCGGTGGGAAACGGGTCCAAGTGGCTCTTTGAGTGTTTTGGGTTGCCTACCCCTAGTCTAGCCCATCAAAAAGGCAGCTAATGGTCTTGCATTGTTTTCTAAAGCCACATGAGGCCTCAGAAAGCCAGTGCTTGGCCTGAAGTTGCCTTGCAAAGGATCAGGCCAGCCATGTCAGCAGAGGAAGGAATGATACAGGTCAGCTGGGGATGTTAGTGTAGAGCAGAGGGCAGCAAGGCAGTGGAGTGCTAGGCAGAGGACAGCAGGGGAGGTGGAGTGCAAGATGGCCAGAAGAGCAGAGATGGGGAGGAGAGAGGACTGTGAGGGGAGTTGAAGCAAACCCTGCAATCGTAAATGCAGGCAAGTTGCAAAGGGCCAAATTTTGATCATATGATTGCAGGGGCATTAGCTCTAGCTTTAAAGATCAGAAATAAATGCCATTCAGTGACAGTTTGAAATTATGATGGCACTGAACAAATGTTATTTTCTCCTGGTCCTTGAAATACTTAAAAAGTACATATAGGTAGTCCTTGCTTAAGATCTTGTCATTAAATAACATTTGTTCAGTGCCATGGTCATTACGTAAGAACCACACATTGGTAGTGTTTAAGTAATACTCTTTTCTTAATTCTTAATGCCCTTTGAAAGTAATGCTTTCATGGGTTACTTTCAATTTTTTTAATCTGTTAGACAACCTGGATCTAGCATCTCAAAGAGAAAGATTTCTCTTCTGCTCACTTTTTCCACATCATGTATAATTTTGTTCAACATATGGAAGCTGGAAGAATTAAAGAAGTAAAATAAAAATTCAGAAAGCAGTATCACATTGAGCTCCAGGTTACTAAATATGATATTGTGCATTTATGCAGAGGTCCCCAACCTTTTGGGCACCAGGGACTGGTTACATGGAGAGAGGTTTTCCGCAGACCATGATTTCGGTTTTGTGTGCTGCCTGCATCCTGTGATGGGGTTTTCCTTGTATGTGTGGACTAGTTGCTGGCATGCCGTGGCCTGGTACTGGTCCACAGACTGGGGGTTGGGGACCCCTGCATTTATGACATTTGCAGTTTCCAACAAAACTATTACAGCATTTCCAGTTTTCAGCAAAATCCTGCCTATAGTGAACCATAAGTTTGCTTAATGACTGTACCATTTGTTTTTTGTCCAGTACATTCACTTAAATGCTGGAAGAAAAAAGGTCATAAAATCCTCACAACATATGACTGTAATGGGCAAGGGTCTATAATGGTTCTATGCCAAAGAATACCTGTAATTACAGTTCCTAGCTGATCAGTTTGCCTTCATGAAACTGATCTCTCCTCTTAAAATTATGTTCTTCATTTTACCTAGAAGATTATTGTCTATTATCTATCTTGATTTTTTTAGTCATTAGACTTTCTGGCTCTTTAGAAAGCATTATAGAGCAAGTCATGGTTAAAAGGTAGTGGAAGAGAGTGAAAAGGATTACCTCTTTTAAATATTGTCTTAACTTTCTTCTATAAATCTTAATTAAAAAATCTTAAATTAAGTTGTTTTTATTTTCTGATGCTTTACAGTATATTATTAGTAAAATTCATTCAGAGAACATTTCTACTGAGAGCATCTATGTAATAACTATGTAACTATGTAATAACTATGCCAAAACTACTAGACACAGGGACAGTTTTCTCCCTCATGCCATCACACTACTGAACACCTAATTCTCACAGTACTGTCTAATGTCTATGTATATTTAACCATGTAGTATTATTATCCTTCTTATCTTCTTTACTAACCCCTCTTTTTGGGATGATAATGATTAATGATGATGATTCTGTTACTGGAGACAAATTCCTTGTGGGTCTAATCACACTTGACCAAATAAATAAAGTCTTCTCTTCTTTTCTCTTCTCTTCTCTCCTCTCCTCTCTTCCCTCCTCTCCTCTCCCCCCTTCTCACCTGTGATCAGCCAACCCACTCTCTATTGTCTTCATTATTCCATTATCCCAAACCTTCTTTTCAACTTTGCCCTTAAAGTAGATTTAAGGGCATAACCTATTACACTGCAGTCACAAAAATGTTAAGGAAACTGTACAGATTGCATTGCATTTCCTTTGTCTCGCCAAAGTCTTATGCATTTTGCAAGTCTATTATTTTAACATGACTGATTTTCCTTAACTCTCCACCAAAACAAAAGCAGATGTAGAAATAAGAGCATTTAAATTAATAGAATTACGATCCTTTTGTTTTTATACAGTTTATGGAACAGAAACATTACAAGCAAATTGTGAATCACTGAATAACGTGGGCAGAATTTTTTTCACTAATATCCTTGTACAGTCCTCCTACTTTCATCCCACTCCCTTGCCTCCAAAAGATATTGTTTACTAATATTTGCCAATGGCTCATCCAGAAACACACTGTCCAATATCAAATGTATCAATATAAGTAATGTAAGTAATGTAAGTCCTCAACTTACAACCATTCCTTTAGTGACCAAAGTTACAACAGCACTGAAAAAAGTGACTGATTGTTTTTCACACTTAAGACTGTTTGTATTATCCCCATGGTCATGCAATCAAAATTCAGAACTTGGCAACTGGCATGTACTTATGACGGTTGCAGAGTCCCAGGGTCATGTGATCACGTTTTGCAACCTTCTGACAAGCAAAGTCAACGAGGAAGCCAGATTCACCTAACAACTGTGTTATTTACTTAACAACTGCAGTGATTCACTTAACAACTATGACAATAAAGGGCGTAAATTGAGACAAAACTGACTTAACAGCGGCCTTGCTTAGCAACCAAAATTTTGAGCTCAATTGTGGTTGTAAGTCAAGGGCTTCCTGTAATGTTTCCATATAATTACGTTCTTCTTTTCCTTGAGGAAACCAGGCCCTTCCATTAAAAGAACATTATACAGTATTTACCTAACACTTGACCTACACTATTATTGTGAAAATCAGTTATTTTGCCAGCTAGCATCTTGATAATAAATGTATTTATTATGAAGGATATTGTTGGTCTTTCCTATCATTCTTTCTTGGCTCTTTTACTATTTATCTTTAGTGCTCTGTTAAGGATTTAAAGGCAGCACTGAAATTTACTGACGTTGTACATCTTTAGTAACTATTTATGCAAGCAAGGTTCTCTCTTCATAGAATCTGTGCATTACTGTATTTAATATTAAAGTGCTTTGGTACTTAAGGATAATCACCTTTTACGATCATCCCTCCAATATGCGAACCAGCATAATTATAATGAGTATGATTAATGTTAGACTACTATTAGAGAGACATAGGTTTAAAATGCCATACATCCATGAAAATCATTCAGTCACTTTCTTTCCACTTAATCTACCTTACTATTGTCGGATGTTTCTGTTGTAAACTACTCAAAGTCATTCAGATCAAATCTAATCAAATAATCAATAGGGATGGATGTCTCTGAAGAAAAAGGTAAGGAACATATACGGTAAATCAAAAAGGAGGAAAATGATACAAATCAGTAAAGTCTACCTTACTATGCACATTCTCAATTGTTGATATTTTGTTTTCAAAGTCAGTGAGCTGAACTAAGCCACTGTAACAAAAAGCAACTATACTCTCTTGCATCAGAATCTCATTCTATATTGCCATATGCAAGAAAAGAAAATAGAGGAAAACAGAATGACTCTGTTGTAAAGCTATTCATTTTCCATAATATGCAGATTGGGCATCAAGCTATTGAGGATTTGAGGAAGTTAATCTATTTTCCTTCTCTGTGTCTGGTTTTGCTTATGATACTGACTAGGAAAGCAAAACCATCTGGGGACTTTTAAAGCTTCTCAGATTAAATGATCACATAGTAATTTGCATTTTTCCTTTAAACCTATATTTAACCCAAAATTTTTCATATTAGTAACATTAGCAAGTGAAAACAAAAGCAAATGTTACACAAATTCTACAGGTTAACTAATGGGGCTGGCAAATCTATTGAAGCCAGATAAATCTGAACCCAGATTCCAGGAATGTGTGTCTATGTTCAATAATAGGTTACTGTTTTTTCCTCAAAAAATACAAAGTGTTCCTTATTCTTTCTCCATGGCTTCTGGATTGCATAGAGATTTTTTTTCAATTTTATTCTCCCTATAAAGTAGATTAAACTGATGTGTTTTTTTAAAATATTGCAATGTTTCCTGTCTTTCATAAAGGAAACATTCACTTGAAATCCTTGAAGAATCTCTAGGACTCTAGTTGTGAGAAGATTAAAGAAACCACCTAGGAAGATACAGTCTTTACAAAACAAAAATCAGCAACATCTCAGACTCTTCTCTGGGAATGAAAGAGATCAGAAATCAACCTTCATCTGCTGTGTGTAAATATCACACATAGGCACACAAAGGAATGTTTTAATCCACCTTCATTCAAATACAATAATACAGTGAGAAAATATTATTGCTCAAGACGGAGGGTGATAACTAAAGAGTCAATGTAATATCCACAGCTGGTTTCTTCTAATCTCTAGACAGGGAAAAGGGCAAAAGAGACGTCAAAGGAGAAGGAACAAACTGATCATAGAGAAGGAGATCAAATATCAAACCAGGGAAGAATAAACAAACGCCGGAGGGGGGGGGGGAGTGGCTAAGGAAATCCCTTCTGAGGGTCACGGGGAGGGGGGCTTCGCGAACCTGGCCTCCGCTTTCACGACTTCAGTTGCCGCAGAGCCGCTTCCAAGTGGGGCCGGCTCTCCCTCCGCTGCGCACCCGGCCCGACCTTCCAGCCCGGCGCCCAACTGGTTTCTGCGCTCGCCGCCTCTCGAACATCACCTTAGAGGGGGACACCCCCTGGGCCACCTTTACCTGGACAGGTGCTTCAGAATCTGCTTCTTGATGAGACCAGCCATTCTGGGCCAGAGACAGGACGCGGGCTCTCTATCGCCCCAAGTGCCCCGTCATTCCCTTTGTAGACGACCGCTGTTCTTGCAGCTCCCGCCGCGGACGCCGGCAGCTCCAGCCATCCTCCGTCCCCTCCTCCCCCACGCCACCTCCAGTAGGCTCCGCCAGAATCCCGGCCGCCACCGCGGCGAAGTCCTACAAAGCTACTCGGGCCCCCGCCCTCTGGAGAGAGAGAGAGAGAGAGAGAGAGAGAGGCGGGATGAATCGGGCGGTGTGGCAGCGCCCTCTATTGGCTCACAGGGCTAGTAGCAGCCTCAGCAACCTCTCTTGTTTCTTTGGTTGCCAGCGAAGCGGCTCAGGCGCAAAAGTTCCCGCGGCTCCTCCTGATTCGTATGGATTAGCACTCGCTTGCTCTCATCGGGCTGCTTTTTTAAAAATACTGTAGCTCCTCATCTCCGGGAATTTTGAACAGCTTATAAGAAAGAACTGCGTCCTACATTTTAAAGGAGATTTGGTGTGTGTTCATACAAATGCCAAGCCATGATTTATCTCGTTATGGAAAACTGAGTAAGTCATTGTCTGAGTTCGCCTAAGTTTCTAACCATTAAAACAGAGTTCGCAAGTCACATTGGCAGAACCACAAACAAGCAAATCATATTTGTGTGACATATTCAGTCTCCTTTTAGGGAAGCTGGAAAAATGTGGGATGGATGATCCCACTACTAGATAGATTTGTTGACAACTATATCCCACGTGTTGTCCGTAATGGGTCTATGTCCACATGGAGCAGAGTATGCAGTGAGTATGTCCGGGTTCTGCTTGGGCCCAATGCTCCTCAACATCTTCATAAATTAGATGAGGGAATAGAAGGGATGTTCATAAATTTTGTGGATGTCATAAAGCTGAGGCTGATTGCTAACACCCCAGAAAAGAAACTGGCAATTGAAGAAGGACTTTATAAGCGTGAATATTGGGACCTATCCAGCCAAATGTTCAGTGTTCACAAATGTAATGTTCTGTTCTTTGGCAGGAAAAAACAGGTACACAGGTACACGTCAGGCTTTGCAGTAGTACTTACAAGAAGGAACTGGAAGTTTTGGTAAACCACAGATTAAGCATAATTGTGCTGCAATAGCAACAGAGTTATATGCTGCACTGGTCCAACTGTACCTGGAATACTATGTCCAATTCTGATTGCCACAATACAAAAAGTACACTAAGGGACTGAAAAGAGTGGAGAGAAGAGCAACGAGTACAATAAGGGACTTGGAGGCTAAATCCTACAAACAATAGTTTGTATGACATGTTCAGCTTATAGAAGAGAAGGCGATAGGGAGACATAACATTCCTCCAGTACATGAAGGGATACCAGACTGGAGAATATGGATTTAGTCTCCAGAGCATTTAAGGATAAGAAAAGAAATAATGGAAGCTTTACAGAGAGAACTCCAAACCTCAGAGGAATTCCATGGGAGAGCTATTAAGCAGTGGGAGAGCCTTATGGAAGTCTCCTAAGCCAGATATTACTTCCTCCAATCTTGTCCTTCTTAAAAATCCATTATCCACTTGCACCATGTGCTCATCATTACTTCAAAAGAGCAGTTCTTTAGGGTATTCAATGCAGTTTATTGGTTTTTGTCTCTTATTAATCCCTCCTGGATTAATATTTAGAAGACAGCTATTGTCTTGCTCTTTGTCTAGTGTCCAGCTTTCACAACTATTCTGGTCTTTAATAATTACATGAAATATATAAATATATTACTTTCATAGATATATCGTTATGTGCCATAATTTTGTGTAAATTTGGCTTTGCGTTCCTTCCCGGGATTAATGCCCTTTTTATTTCTCTTACACACCATAATCTTGAACCAAACAAAACAAAACCTTCTTTGCACTTCATTTATCTATCTATTCATCCATCCATCCATTAATCAATTCATGTGGTTATAATTACTCCAAAGGACCTGAAGGCAGGACAAGAAGCAATGGATGGAAGCTAATTAAGGAGAGAAGCAACCTAGAACTAAGGAGAAATTTCCTGACTGTTAGAGCAATTAATCAGTGGAACAACTTGTCTCCAAAAGATGTGACTGTTCAACACTGGAAGTTTTTAAGAAGAGGTTGGCCAACCATTTGTCTGCCTGTGCAGGGTGTTGGACTAGAAAATCTCCAAGGTCCCTTCCAACCTTGTTATTCTGTTAATACTGGTTATTAATTTTTTGGTTTTAATTTCAATATTTCATATTTTTCACATTCTATTTTTACTTTAATAACCAACGTTTTAATAATTATTTATTATTACCTAACAAGGTTGAATTATCTCTATATTTGAAATTATTAGAATGTTGACTCCTGTTTTAATTCCAGCTATTATCTTTTTCAATTCTGTTATTCTTATAAAATATTCACTGTTATTAAGTGGGTATGCATTCTTGTTATTCCCTTTCCTATTCCCAATCACCATGTTCCTTTCAACTCTGGTTTTACAATAGTTTCTTATTCATTGTAAAGTTTTTTTCAGAAAAATAATTTTATGTTCTGGTATACCTATTACACATTTGACAGGATTTACACAATTAAGACCTTACTGTAATCAATTATCAGAGATCTGTATTCCCAATCTCTCATTATTCATGATTAACTATCTGATCACGTCTATTTATATTTTCTGAAACGTACCCATTCACTTGGCATTCATTTGGCTTTGGAGTCATGTATGGCTCTAATTCTTGTTTCTATAAGATCTGATCAAAACATGTCTTGCATAATGACTTGGTGCAATTTGCACATTCCCTTACATCCCCCCTCCTCCTCTTCTTCCTCCTTCAGTATTTTCAAACCTCTAGATTACATATTTCTCCATATCTGTTGGCACAGAGCTGCTAAACTTCTTAAGTGCCTGTTCTTCTGCAGTTATAAACAATTTAGTTGGTCTAGTGCTTTCCTATTTTGTTCCTGACCTATTACATGTTTTAACTTATTTTAATTAAAAAATGTACATTTTACACACCATCTTTCAATGGCTTAAAATAATTTGAAATTATATGACACAGCCGATCCTGTATTACCCATTCTACTTTAGTTTTTAACAATTTTTGTTCCTGAATGTTACCGTATTTCTCTTTCTATAATTCTGCTTGTAAATAAGTATAGATTGTTTTAATATTTATGAGAGCTTTCCCATGATTATTTGCTTGTCCCCATCACACAGGGGTGTGAAACTGCTGGCCCGCGGGCTGGACGCGTCATCCAGAAGCCACACCAACCCCATTGCCGGCAATGGCAAAACTGTCCTGATACATTGTGCGACATCATGTGACGTCGCAAGTTTGACATGTCTGCAAACATACGATTTTAAATGAGTGTGAGCTATTGTTTCCAAGTTTCGTGCTCCTAGTAGTCAAGCACATACTTAGTTATGCTCTTGTTAATTTTCCTTGCCATTCCATTAATTTATATGAGCTCATATCCTAAATACTGCATTATCATCTGATTTAAAGTGGCCCATTCTAGTTCATTTAAGTTTATTTACTCCTAAAACATAACTTTAAATACTTAAATTTCTGCTTTAGCAATTTCAGGTTTCTTTCTTTTTTGCATATATTGTTATTAAGAATTTTTGTTTACAACAGTAAAAACAAACTAAACTCAAAGAAAAAAGAATAGTGAGAAAGAATAAAGTGTAAAAAAGAAAAAAAAAGAATATAAAGAAAATAAAAATGTAAGGTAACTTCCAGCTTTCATTAAAGTATAGACAAATTGAGGAACTCTTCACCCTTATATGGTTACAATCTTTTATCCCTTAACCCATCCCTTATATATAAGCAAATCCATAAAATATCAACTTTTTAATGCTAGTGTCAGCAAAGTCTATAAAGAATTACCAAAACTGAAAAAAAGGGGGGGGGATCCCTTATCTTGATCAAATAAAACAACTTTATATGACTTCCTTTTATTTTTAAGACTTAATGTTTACTGTTTATTCAAATATTGTTGTGGGATTTGATTTCTGTTCAATTCTTCTTTATTCCATCACACAGATTCTTCAAGGGTTTAAAAAGTCTCTTGTAGATCCAGGTAAGAAAATATTTTCCAGATCATTTTCTTTGCCTGTCATTTGTAGTTCCACTACTTTCTCTGTTTTTGTCAGACAAAATTTGTTCCACATCTGTTGTTTCCTCAGAAGCATCTTTTGGACATAAACTATCCATATGATCAGGTATCATTATTAATCCTGTTGATATTGTAGTTACTAATTTCTGGTTCCATTCTTCAAAGATCTCCTTTAATATTTCTAATGCAGTTTCATATCATTTTGTAAGCTCCGGTTAACTGGCACCAAAAGCAGGCTTGTATTTGTTTTCCTTCTACTTGGAATCTTTAGTTCTCTCTAGTGTCCAGTTTCTAAAAACATCTCATCTTTGTTATGAGTCAAGATAGTTAAAGTAACTGTAGTTCCCACAAGAAGCTATTTCTTTTTATAGCTAAGTCCAAAATTTTATATATCGTAGTAGGTCAATTATTCCAAATTTAACTTTACCCTTAATCCATTCATAACTTTCTTAAATCTTATTTAGCTTTTTGATGTTTATTTCAAATCCTTTATGTTCTTAAGCTTATTGTTAATTTTCATTTGCTCAAAGTTAAAATTACATTTACTCACTTTTCAAACTTGTATTTTCAAAGGTCTCTAATAGCTTTTAGATGGTTAACAATTTTCAAGAGTGATTAGAAAGTCTTGCAAACTTACTGCCCTTTAAAAGCTCTGCTGCAGTTCTTTCGTCTCCTAATGCTCAAACCTGTGGAAGACCATTATTTATTTATTTATTTATTTATGAGACTTATATACCGCTTTAAGTGCAAGCACTCTCTAAGCGGTGTACACCAGTAAGCAATGCATATATATATTTTACATTGCCCCCAACAATCTGGGTCCTCATTTTACCTACCCCGGAAGGAAGGAAGGCTGAGTCAACCTTGAGCCGGTGAGATTTGAACTGCTGACCTGCTGAACAGTCAGCTAAAGTGGCCTGCAGTACTGCACTCTAACTGCTGCACCACCTCGGCTCATTATCCTACAGTCACCTTATGAGTAGCTGTCTGGAGTACATTTGGGCAACCTCCCTGCTCTCCTTACCCAGAGAGGTTCCGAAGAAACAGCCTATTCACCAGATCTTCAATATTTGCTGTGGT